TATTCTGACGAGCTGGTTACAATGTTTGAAAAAACTTTGACAACTCTGCTATCTTCGTCCTTTTGAAATAACCTTTGCCAGTTGGTAGTGTAAAAAAATAAGGATATTCACATAGAAATGGAACACGGTGCACAAGCAAATAAATAAGTTTTTGTAATTTTTATTAAGCAAACTACAAGGCCTTGTTGTCTGTATGAAATGAATATTTGTTATACAACAAAGAAATATGGTAGAAGTGACAGCAGTTTCGTAGATCACCACATCTCCTCATCACACCACTTATGGCAGGGATCGAACCAACGGATCCTGACTTAACAGGCGAGTGTTCTACCATTGAGCCAACATCAGCCATATAATCTGTTGTTGAATTATTCAATTTATTATTAACCAACAACTGTTAAGTGCGCTAATTTAGCCGCTATTTTCTTAACAGCTTGGTTAGCGTGTTGTGTTGGAATCCTCTATACTTCCAGGCGTTAATTGACTGAAAATTGTATAGGCAGGATTAAGTATCAGGTTCAACTTGTATATTTATAATTGTTTTTGCGGCCATGCTATATATTAATTTTTATTAAGTAAACTACGAGGCCTTGTTGTTTGCATGAATTGAATATTTGTTATACAACAAAGAAAAATAGTAGGAGTGACAGCTGTTTCGGAGATCACCACATCTCCCCATCAGACTTCTTATGGCAGGGTTCGAACCAACGGATCCTGACTTAACAGGCGAGTGTTCTACCACAGCGCCAACATCAGCCATATAATTTGTTGTTGTATTATTCAATTCATTATTAACCCACAACTATTAAGTGCGCTAATTTAGCCGCTACTTTCTTAACAGCTTGGTTAGTGTGTTGTGTTGGAATCCTCTATACTTTCAGGCGTTAATTGACTGAAAATTGTATAGGCAGGATTAAGTATCAGGTTCAACTTCTATATTTAAAATTGTTTTTGCGGCCATGCTGTATATTAATTTTTATTAAGTAAATTACGAGGCCTTGTTGTTTGCATGAATTGAATATTTGTTATACAACAAAGAAAAATAGTAGAAGTGACAGCTGTTTCGGAGATCACCACATCTCCTCATCAGAATTCTTATGGCAGGGCTCGAACCAACGGATCCTGACTTAACAGGTATCAGGTTCAAATTGTATATTTATAATTATTTTATTATTTTTATTTATTAGACCATAACTATTTGAGCCTCATTTTGAAAAATATGCCTGGACGCAAAAAACAAGCCGAATGATAACGCTATTTTACAAATTAAGAGGGTAATTTTTCTTTTAACTTTTTTCTCATCTCCAATGAATTCCAGGCGTAAAGTATGCCTCCCAAGCTGAAAGAAAAATGGAACACCAAGCCTCAAAATGCAAACCCATTACCCATGTTCGCAAAAATTTGATACAACAAATGATGGCTAAATATGATATTGTGGCAGATTTACCTCTTCCCCTATAGATAGATTTTCTGAAAATCTCCTGAAAATTAAAAATAATTATCTTGACGATTGGTACAATTTAGCAAATTGGTGAGCCTTTGTATAGTTCTCAGATCTAAAATAGTTGAACAGCTGGAAGTATATTTCCAACTTCCGCCATGTGACACTGAAACATTTTATGGTGGATACGATGAGTGGCCGACATTCCTAGACATTTTCATTGCCGTATATATAAGCCACTTCCTGCGTTCTCCAGGTCAAAAAGTATACCTTCTCCGGTATAAGACAAGAGACCAAGCAGGTGATATAGTTGAACGATTCGCTTTGCAATGGTTGCTCTCCATTCCCGATATGAAAACAAACGGCAATTAGTCGACAATCACATCACGAACTTACCCAGAGCTCGGAAAGAAACGAGTGAAGAGTTTATTGATTTATACTCAAGAATCACAAATTCTTTATAAGTGCTCAAAACTCTCGGAACACCCACAGATAGCTGGGACCCAATTCCGGTAAATATATGCACATCTGCATTACCCGAAAATTTCCTAATGATAAGGGATGCATTAGAAATAAGTTCAGCAAGTCCCGCAGATCCGGCTTCTATCGGCAGCATGACGCACATTCATGTCTGTAGCATCAAAATATTGTTACGACTTTGCAAAATCAACCTCGATGATTTTCTGAATTCTTCGGGTACGATCTCTGGATTGTTAAATAAAANCCATGCTATATATTAATTTTTATTAAGTAAACTACGGGGTCTTGTTGTTTGTATGAGTTGAATATTTGTTATACAACAAAGAAAAATGGTAGAAGTAACAGCTGTTTCGGAGATCACCACATCTCCTCATTAGACTTCTTCTGGCAGTGATCGAACCAACGCATCCTGACTTAACAGGCGAGTGTTCTACCACTGCGCCAACATCAGCCATATAATTTGTTGTTGTATTATTCAATTCATTATCAACCCACAACTATTAAGTACGCTAATTTAGCCGCTATTTTCTTAACAGCTTTGTTAATGTGTTGTGTTGGAATCCTCTATACTCTATACAGGATTAAGTAACAGGTTCAACTTGTATATTTATAATTGTTTTTGCGGCCATGCTGGTAACAAAAAAATTTAAAATAAAGTAAGTTTTGTATGTTTTTTATAACACCCGAAACTGAATTTAGTATTCTGGCGAGCTGGTTACAATGTTTGAAAAAACTTTGACAACTCTGCTATCTTCGTCCTTTTGAAATAACCTTTGCCAGTTGGTAATGTAAAAAAAAATAAGAATATTCACATAGAAATGGAACACGGTGCACAAATAAATAAATAAGTTTTTGTAATTTTTATTATGCAAACTACAAGGCCTTGTTGTCTGTATGAAAAGAATATTTGTTATACAACACAGAAATATGGTAGAAGTGACAGCAGTTTCGTAGATCACCACATCTCCTCATCAGACCTCTTACGGCAGGGATCGAACCAACGGATCGATCTACCATAGAGCCAAAATCAGCCATATAATCTGTTGTTGAATTATTCAATTTATTATTAACCAACAACTGTTAAGTGCGCTAATTTAGCTGCTATTTTCTTAACAGCTTGGTTAGTGTGTTGTGTTGGAATCCTCTATACTCTATACAGGATTAAGTATCAGGTTCAACCTGTATATATATAATTGTTTTTGCGACCATGCTATATATTAATTTTTATTAAGTAAACAACGAGGTCTTGTTGTTTCTATGAATTGGATATTTGTTATACAACAAAGAAAAATGGTAGAAGTAGACTTCTAATAGCAGGGATCGAGCCAACGGATCCTGACTTAACAGGCGAGTGTTCTACCACTGCGCCAACATCAACCATATAATTTGTTGCTGTATTATTCAATTCATTATGAACCTACAACTATTAATTGCGCTAATTTAGCCGCTACTTTCTTAACAGCTTGGTTAGTGTGTTGTGTTGGAATCCTCTATACAAATTGTTTAGGCAGGAATAAGTATCAGGTTCAACTTGTATATTTAAAATTGTTTTTGCGGCCATGCTATATATTAATTTTTATTAAGTAAACTACGAGGCCTTGTTGTTTGAATATTTGTTATACAACAAAGAAAAATGGTAGAAGTGACAGCTGTTTCGGAGATGACCACATCTCCTCATTAGACTTCTTCTTGCAGGGATCGAACCAACGCATCCTGACTTAACAGGCGAGTGTTCTACCATTGAGCCAAAATCAGCCATATAATTTGTTGTTGTATTATTCAATTCATTATTAACCCACAACTATTAAGTGCGCTAATTTAGCCGCTATTTTCTTAACAGCTTGGTTAGTGTGTTGTGTTGGAATCCTCTATACTTTCAGGTTTTAATTGACTGAAAATTGTATAGGCAGGATTAAGTATCAGGTTCAACTTGTATATTTATAATTGTTTATTATTTTTGTTTATTAAACCATAACTATTTGAACCCATTTTTGAAAAATATGCCTGGACGATAAACACAAGCCGAGTGAAAATGCTATCCAATGAATTCCAGGCGTAAAATATGCCTCCCCCGCTGAAAGAAAAATGGAACACCAAGCCTCAAAATGCAAACCCATTGCCCATGTGCGCAAAAATTTTATAAAACAAATGATGGCTAAATTTGATATTGTGGCAGATTTACCTCTTCCCCTATAGATAGATTTTCTGGAAATCTCCTGAAAATTAAAAATAATTATCTTGACGATTGGTACAAACATGTTCAAAACGCATACGAATTCCTTTTCCAGAAAGACGTAGAAGACCTCCCGGCGAATTTTCTTGCGCTGGCGGAAGAAAAGTATCAATTTAGCAAATTGCTGAGCCATTGTCTAGTGCTCAGATCTAAAATAGTTGAACAGCTGGAAGTATATCTCCAACTTCCTCCATGTGACACTGAAACATCTTATGGTGGATACGATGTGTGGCCGACATTCCTAGACATTTTCATTGCCGTATATATAAGCCACTTCCTGCGGTCTCCAGGTCAAAAACTATACCTTCTCCGGTATAAGACAAGAGACCAAGCAGGTGATATAGTTGAACGATTCGCTTTTCAATTGATGCTCTCCATTCCCGATATGAAAACAAACGCCAATTAGTCGACAATCACATCACGAACTTACCCAGAGCTCGGAAAGAAACGAGTGAAGGGTTTATTGATTTATACTCAAGAATCACAAATTCTTTATCAGTGCTCAAACCTCTCGGAACACCCACAGATAGCTGGGACCCAATTCCGGTAAATATATGCACATCTGCATTACCCGAAAATTTCCTAATGATAAGGGATGCATTAGAAATAAGTTCAGCAAGTCCCGCAGAACCGGCTTCTATCGACAATATGACATACTTTCATCTCTGTAGCATCAAAATATTGTTACGATTTTTCAGAATCAACCTCGATGATTATCTGAATTCTTCGGGTACGATCTCTGGATTGTTAATTAAATATCGCCAACTTAATTTGCTCTCTCTTTCGTCTGAAAATTAAGAAAAAGCAATTTCCGCAGCGGTGTACTTCCGACTTTTTCTTTCCAAGAAACGGACAACTAAATCGGATCACGGCTTTAAGTCCAAAGAAATCCCGCCGAAGTCCAGAACGCAATAGCAGCGGAAATAGTCTGAAGAACCATCGAGGGATACTACACTATACACCGCACCCACATACCCAGCGGTTATAATTCAGCACTTCGTGAAGGGCGGCCCAATATGTTTAAGCGAGCGCTTAACAGAGCATCAACGTCACCAAAAACCCATACATTTGGTGCGCATCCTAATGCAAACACCTTACAGCAAATATTATATAAGCTGTGAAAAGCCAGCAGTTGGCAAGATATCTTAACCAGCTAACTGAAAGCGCGCACGGGGCGGCAATATTTAAGATTAAGTTAGGTTTAAACTTTCATATATGCGCATACATATTATTTAAATAATCAAAACAAACATTTGCCACATAACATCAAAACTGTCATAAATTATTTCTAATTAATTCAAAATAAACACTTATACAAATATGCAAAATCTAATTCGAAGGAACTCGAAGAAGGTACCTCCCGTAAACAGAAGTGAAATTGTTAACGTTGCAACCGCGCAAATTCATCCTTACAGGCCTATTCTCACCGTTACCGGTAAAATAATTTTTTTTTTTACTTTTTTTAACACCCGAAATTCAATTTGGTGTTCTGGCAAACTGGTTACAATGTTTGAAAAACCTTTGGCAGCACTGCTTTTTTCATCCATGTCAAATTAAATTTACCAGTTGATAAAATAAATATATATTTGCATTTCATTTGTTGTTGGAAAGCAAGTTTTCCCGGCTCTTACTTTAACAATCAAATTTAAAATATAATGCAGTGATTGCGAAACAGAAGGTTGGCAATTGCTCCTAACGAATTTCTGATACGACGGGTGAGAAAAGATAAATGTTTTTGAGACAAACCTCAAATAAAACGGCAATGATGTCTTCTGTCTAAAAAAAAAAGTTTACTTAAAATTTACACATTAAAATGAACTCCATTGTTATATGCTGCCAATTCGTTTATAAGCTCTAAGCAAATTGTTTTGTTCAGGCGAAAACACTGAATGACAAACTAAAATGGTAATTTTTTTCTCTCCAACTTCCTCACATACGTCTTCTTGCACTTTTTCATTCATCTTCAATTAATTTGGAACGTAAGATATGTCTATACATTTTGATTTTGTAGTTTTTCACAACAGCTGGTAACAAAACTTACATGTTGAAAGTGAACTCAGAATACGAAATAGAAACAAAATTTGCTGATAGGCCTATTCTCACTTTTTCCCGGTAAAGTAAATTATGCATCTTTTTTTAACACCCGAAATTAATATTGAAATTTGTTATACAACAAAGAAAAATGGTAGAAGTGACAGCTGTTTCGGAGATCACCACATCTCCTCATCAGACTTCTTATGGCAGGGAGCGAACCAACGCATCACATCTCCTTATCAGACTTCTTATGGCAGGGGAGCGAACCAACGCATCCGCTATTTTCTTAACAGCTTGGTTAGTGTGTTGTGTTGGAATCCTCTATAAGGCGTTAATTGACTGAAAATTGTATAGGCAGACATCAGCCTTATAATTTGTTGCTATATTATGATCGAGCCAACGGATCCTGACTTCTAATGGCAGGGAACGAGCCAACGGATCTCCTGACTTAACAGGCGAGTGTTCTTGACTTAACAGGCGAGTGTTCTACCACTGCGCCAACATCAGCCATATAATTTGTTGTTGTATTATTCAATTCATTATTAATATTATTCAATTCATTATTAACCCACAACTATTAAGTGCGCTAATTTAGCCGCTATTTTCTTAACAGCTTGGTTAGTGTGTTTTGTTGGAATCCTCTATACTTTCAGGCGTTAATTGACTGAAAATTGTATAGGCAGGATTAAGTATCAGGTTCAACTTGTATATTTATAATTGTTTATTCATTATGAACCTACAACTATTAAGTGCGCTAATTTAGCCGCTACTTTCTTAAGTTTGTATGATTTGTATATTTGTTATACAACAAAGAAAAATGGTAGAAGTGACAGCTGTTATTAATTTTTATTAAGTAAACTACGAGGCCTTGTTGCTTCTATGAATTGGATATTTGTTATACAACAAAGAAAAATGGTAGAAGTGACAGCTGTATGTGTTGTGTTGGAATCCTCTATACTTTCAGGCGTTAATTGACTGAAAATTGTTTAGGCAGTATCAGGTTCAACTTCATCTCCTCATCCTTAACAGGCGAGTGTTCCACCATTGCGCCAACATCAGCCATATAATTTGTTGTTGTATTATTCAATTCATTATTAACCCACAACTTCTAAGTGCGCATTATTTAAATAATCAAAACAAACACATAATCAAAACACATAACATCAAAACTGTCATAAATTATTTCTAATTAATTCAAAATAAACACTTATACAAATATGCAAAATCTAATTCGAAGGAACTCGAAGAAGGTACCTCCCGTAAACAGCCAACATCAGCCATATAATTTGTTGTTGTATTATTCAATTCATTATTAACCCACAACTTGTATTATTCAATTCATTATTAACCCACAACTATTAAGTGCGCTAATTTAGCTTGGTTAGTGTGTAGTGTTGGAATCCTCTATACTCTATACAGGATTAAGTATCAGGTTCAGCTCTTATATTTATAATTGTTTTTGCGGCCATGCTATATATTAATTTTTATTAAGTAAACTACGAGGACTTGTTGTTTGTATGAATTGAATATTTGTTATACAACAAAGAAAAATGGTAGAAGCGACAGCTGTTTCGTAGATCTTGACTTAACAGGTATCAGGTTCAAATTGTATATTTATAATTGTTTTATTATTTTTGTTTATCTTGACTTAACAGGTATCAGGTTCAAATTGTATATTTATAATTGTTTTATTATTTTTGTTTATCAAACAATAACAATTTGAACCTTATTTTGAAATATATGCCTGGACGACAAAAAACAAGCCGAATGAAAACGCTATCTTACAAATTAAGAGGGTAATTTTCCTTTTAACTTTTTTCTCATCTCCAATGATTTCCAGGCGTAAAGTATGCCTCNAAATTGTTAACGTTGCAACCGCGCAAATTCATCGTTACAGGCCTATTCTCACCGTTGCCGGTAAAATAATAGTTTTTACTTTTTTTTAACACCCGAAAATAAATTTGGTGTTCTGGCAAGCTGGTTACAATGTTTAAAAAAACTTCGGCAGCACTGCTTTTTTCATCCATGTCAAATTACATTTACCAGTTGATAAAGTAAAAAGAAGAATATGCATACATATATGTATATATTTGCATTTCATTTGTTGTTGGAAATCAAATTTTTCCGGCTCTTACTTTGACAATAAAATTTAAAATATAACGCAGTGATCGCGAAACAGAAGGTTGGCAATTGCTCCCAACGAATTCCTGATTCGACGGGTGGGAAAAGATAAATGTTGTTGAGAAAACCTCACATAAAACAGCAATGATGTCTTCTGTCTAAAAAAAAGGTTCACTTAAAATTTACACATAAAAATGAGCTCCATTGTTATATGCTGCCAATTCGTTTATAAGCTCTAAGCAAATTGTTTTGTTCAGGCGAAGACACTGAATGACAAACTAAAATGGTAATTTTTTTCTCTCAAACTTCCTCACATACGTCTTCTTGCACTTTTTCAATCATCTTCAATTAATTTTGAACGTAAGATATGTCTATACATTTTGCTTACATGCCAATTCTCATCTCTACCGGTAAAGTAAACTTTGTAACTTTTTTTTAACACCCGAAACTGAATTTGGTATTCTGACGAGCTGGTTACAATGTTAGAAAAAACTTTGACAACTTTGCTATCTTCGTCCTTTCGAAATAACATTTGCCAGTTGGTAATGTAAAAAATAAGTATATTCACATCGAAATGGAAGACGGTGTACAAAAAAATAAATGAGTTTACTAATTTTTATTAAGTAAACTACGAGGCCTTGTTGTTTGTATGAATTGAATATTTGTTATACAACAAAGAAAAATGATAGAAGCAACAGCTGTTTCGTAGATCACCACATCTCCTAATCAGACTTCTTATGGCAGGGAGCGAACCAACGGATCCGGACTTAACAGGTATCAGGTTCAAATTGTATATTTATAATTGTTTTATTATTTTTGTTTATTAAACCATAACAATTTGAACCTTATTTTGAAATATATGCCTGGACGACAAAAACAAGCCGAATGAAAACGCTATCTTACAAATTAAGAGGGTAATTTTCCTTTTAACTTTTTTTTCATCTCCAATGAATTCCAGGCGTAAAGTATGCCTCCCCCGCTGAAAGAAAAATGGAAAACCAAGCCTCAAAATGCAAACCCATTACCCATGTGCGCAAAAATTTGATACAACAAATGATGGCTTAATAAGATATTGTGGCAGATTTAACTCCTCCTCCATAGACGATTTTCTGAAAATCTCCTGAAAATTTAAAATAATTCTCTTGACGATTGGTACAAACATGTTCAAAACGCATACGAAGTCCTTTTCCAAAAAGACGAAGAAGACCTCCCTGCGAATTTTCTTGAGCTGGCGGAAGAAAAGTATCAATTTAGCAAATTGCTGAGCTATTGTCTAGTTCTCAGACCTAAAACAGTTGAACTGCGGGAAGTATATCCCCAACTTCCGCCATGTGACACTGAAACATTTTATGGTGGATACGATGAGTGGCCGTCATTCCTAGATATTTTCACTGCCGTATATATAAGCCACTTCCTGCGTTCTCCAGGTCAAAAACTATACCAAAGAAATCCCGCCGAAGTCCAGAACGCAATAGCAGCGGAAATAGTCTGAAGAACCATCGAGGGAAACTACACTATACACGGCACCCACACATTTAGCGGTTATAATTTAGCACTTCGTGAAGGGCGGCCCAATATATTTGAGCGAGCGTTTAACAGAGCATCAATGTCACCAAAAACCCATGCATTTTGTGCGCATCCTAATGCAAGCACTTTGCAGCAAATATTATATAAGCTGTGAAAAGCCAGCAGTTGGCGAGATATCTTAACCAATTAACTGCAAATGCGCACTGGGCGGCAATATTTAAGATTTAGTTGAGTTTATTTAATNTTGCAGCAAATATTATATAAGCTGTGAAAAGCCAGCAGTTGGCGAGATATCTTAACCAATTAACTGCAAGCGCGCACTGGGCGGCAATATTTAAGATTTAGTTGAGTTTATTTAATATGTAT